TATGCAAAACAGCTCTCAATGGCCCTGGCTCTATTTGTCTCTTCCCCTTGGGGCGGGGGATGGTGAGGACATCTTATATGTCTCTCCAATATTGTTATACACTTTGAATTCTGGACATTATTCTAAATCTTTTTTTGCTGCCCCCCCCCCCCCCCCCGGGCTGCACCCTGTATCACCCTGACTGGGAATTGAACCAGCAACCCTTTGGTTCCCAGGCCTGTGCTCCATCCACTGAGTCACACCAGCCAGGACTAGTAAAATTCTTTAGCTGTTTAAGATCAATGAATAATAGGTGCATCTTTCAGATGATTAGGGGTAGTCAGAGCACCAAATATCTTAGTGTCTCTTTAGAAAAATTTGGCCAGTACTCACATATTAAAATCAATTTGTGTGATTCAAAAGCAACACACAATTGAAAGCTAATTAGGTGTTACTTCTCTTTGTATCTGTTGCAATAGTTAAAGCAGAGAGAACTAGGGTCTCTACAGATAAATCCTGTAAACACAGAGACTAACAATAGAAGTTTAGTTTTCATGTACACCACCTTCCAATATGGGTGCTCAGCAGACTTTTCAGATGGCATTTGGGGAACCAAGGCTCCTTTATCTTGGGGTTCTGCTAACTTTTGGGGTCTTGAAGTCCTTTACTTTTTTTTAGTAGGCAGGGAAATGGGTGAGTTGAAGACAAGCTAGAAGGCTTTTATGGAAGTTTTGTTTCTCATTTCTACCCACGTTCCACTGGCCAGATAAGTCACATGGCCCATTTCCACACAAGGGTGGTGGTGATGAGGCTTCCTTACAACCACTGTACACCAGCACATTTCAACTGAATTTTTAAGACACGAAACACCCTACTATTTATTTAGTTAAGGGCACTGACTTCTTTTCCCTTAGATTTTCAAATAAAAAAAGGACAATAGCTGATACAACAATAGTCATCTGATGTGAATTAATCAAAATTATACCTATTTTGGCAGATCAATAAAAATATATTTTTTGCTGTGCCATGGAATTTTAGTAATGAGTATGCCATGAGATGAAAAAGGTTAAAATTGCTGCTCTATGCTAATGTGGAGAGGCATGAATCTTCATTGGACAACTGGATCCCTCTTCTACAGTCGGAGTGAGCATTTTAAGGTTTCTAAATCAAAGGGATGGACTACATGTCTGATGTGGGACTTTTAGACAGTCTATGAAATCTGAATGTGGATTACAATCTTCATGTACCTGACATCTTAGGAATTCAGGTGACCCTCAGAAACTGTGAAGTCAGGATTGATTGAAAAATAGTGTAGTTAAGAAAGGAAAATTATAATTCATGAGTAATTAGAGATACTATTAATATTTTATTTTTTATCGAGTGATACAGAGGAACCAGAAACAATATGGATTTTGAGCTGGTTTATAATATAGTAGAACTTGTACAATTACAGAAAATAGAACTCTTGTTGCAAAACTATTGCCACAAGTTTAGCTTTGTTAGTGCATATTTTCCCTTAAAAATGTTTTTGTGCTTGGCAGAAATTTTAACAGCATATGCCTGTACCCGATGGGTTTTATTCGTGTTGTGTTGCTTCTTGGTTTTTTAATTTGTTTTATGCGAGTTTAACCTCTATCCTCAAACTTGCTTATGATTTTTATTTTGGAATTGGGATTGGCTATGGTATGAAATTTTCATGAATTTCATTCTCATCTTTTTTTGCTCAGATGCTTTTAATGACACATTGTATCATAACTGGTGACTTGTGAAATATATTTTTTTGCCACTTACTGTGGAACAACTGACAGGTGACTTACTTTCTGTTTTCTCATCTATAAAATTTTATTGGTCAAGTGATCTCCAGCTCTCTTGGAATTAATGTTTAGGGTTAAGTCACTTTCTATGGAAATTTGAAGTATTATGTGATTCACCCAGTGGGGTGCTGGAACTGGATTATCATAGCCCATGATGGCTGAATAGTGGAAACTTGTTTTAACAACCTATGCTACAAATTAAATATCCAAACTTATGATTAAAGTACTTGTATTAATTTCCTAATTTTTATTATATTTTGTTGTTATCTGTGCTCTTGAGGTTATTATATCTATTGTGTCCATATACTGGAAATGCCCTACAAGGGGGTGTTATTGCACCTCTCTTCTCAGTGATACCACCTAGGTAGCTTGAAGTTGGCCATGCTGGGTGCTATTTGTTATATATTTATCAGTAGCCCATGGGACACACACACAGATCATACTCCACATGATGTGTTGAGGCCTGAAGGAGACAAATAGTGCCAGGAACATTCTAGATGCACAAAAAAGGACAGAAGGATCATTCCTTCAGAAAATCTGTCATTACCATGGAGCCTCAAAAGGACCAGTGTTGCCAGATCCTTGCTTTCCAGAGACTCCAAAAGGACATGGAACCTCTTTCTGTTTCTTTAGTCATACAACAGATTCTAAAATACTTGACTCCATCCCTTTCAGGGATATGTTAGAGGGAAAAAAAAAGTCCTAAATGATGTGAGACCATTTTGAACAATTAAGAAGCACAAATTCAATTCGAATCCTTCTTAAATTGGAGGTTGAGAAAGAGTTTTGCATGAGTTTGTCTGTGCTAGTGACGACTTTGAGAAGAAAAATATGCCCCCCCACGGTCCCCACTGCGACAGTGTGTCGGAGCTGTAATGGTGATTCTGCAGTGCTGGTCCCTGGGCATAGGCACGACTGTCCATCACCAGGTCTTCTTGGGCGCTGACAAGTAAGAACGATGTAATAGGATATGGGCGAAATGTCTGTTTTTGTATCCCGGAAGGACTATATTTTATTCTGGGATTCTGTTCTGACAAACTTTTATGTTGATATATTCTCTTTAAAAAAAATTTATTGTTGTTCAGTCACCATTGTCTTGCCTTTTTCCTCATTGATCTCTCCTACCTTGCCCCCCCCTCCTGCCAACTCCCACAGTCAATCCCTTGCATTATCTGTGCCCATGAGTCCTCTGTTTATGTTCCTTTGCTTGCTCTTTCCCCTTCTGTCCTCTGTTATCCCCCTCCCCTCTGGTCACTGTCAGTTTGTTCTTTATCTCCAATTCTCTGGTTCTATTTTGCTTATTTATTTGTTTTGTTTATTAGGTTCCACTTACAAGTGAGATCATACAGTATTTGTCTTTCAACATCTGGCTTATTGCACTTAGTTCCATCCATAGTGTTGTGAAGGGTAGTAGCTCCTTCTTTCTTTCTGCTGCATAGTATTCCATTGTGTAAATGTACCATAGTTATTTGATCCATTCATTTACTGATGGGTACTTAGGTTGCTTCCAGCACTTGGCTATTGTAAATTGTGCTGCTAAGAAAATTGGGGTTCATAGGTTCTTTTGGATTGGTGTTTCAGGGTTCTTAGGGTATAATCCCAACAGTAGGATTGCTGGATCAAAAGGCAATTTCATCTTTAGTTTTATAAGGAAATTCCATACTGTTTTCCATAGTGGTTGCACCAGTCTGCATTCCCACCTAGAGTGCCCTAAAGTTCCCTTTTCTGCACAACCTCTCCAGTACCTGTTGTTTGTTGATTTATTAATGATGATCATTCCAACTGGTGTGAAGTGGTATCTCATTGTCGTTTTAATTTGCATCTCTCTAATGGTTAGTGATGTTGAACAGTTTCTCATGTGTCTACGGGTCATCTGCATGTCCTCCTTGGAGAAACATTTTAAAAAATGTTTGTAGTCTGCCAGGCCCATGTGGCCTAGTGGATTGAGTGCCAGCCTGCAAAGCAAAAGGTCACTGGTTTGATTCTCGATCAGGGCACATGCCTGGGTTGAGGGCCAGGTCCCCAGTTGGGGGTGTGTGAGAGTCAGCTGATCGATGTTTCTCTCCCTTTCTTTCTCTTTAAAAATAAATAAATAAAATCTTTTAAAAAAGTAAAAAATGTTTGTGGTTCCATGGAATGTAAATGCCTAAAACTACTGCACGTTGACTTTAAATGATTTTTCTAGAAGCAAATAAGTCTTATGGAATTACTCTATATGTGACTTCAATTCAAATAATTCTAATGGAATTACTTTATAGGTAACTTGTATCAGCAGCATGGACATGTGTTGGCACTTTTCTTTACTCCTGTTATTGTCAATTTCATAAAACTGTTGATAATTAATATTGAGAAAATTAAAGCATGAACTGAAAAAAGCCTTGTTTATTTCATCTCTTCTGCAAAGACAATCTTTTAAAGTTTTAATAGAACTGTTCTTTTGAGGAGAGGCATGCAAAAAGTGAGCCGTAAAGCTTAAGGCTTAAGCTTAAAAATTGCAATTGCATTTTTTTTTTTTACCTAAGGAAATATTCATCATATCCCAGAAGTTCTTAAGTCTACATCTGGCTTTCACCATTTTTGTTTCCCCTTTAACACTGTGGATATTAATGCCAGTTTTAATTTCTTGGCACGAACACATCACACAGACATGTGATTTTGAACAAGGACTGAAACTGTAAATTAGGAAGCAGGAGATTCACAGGGTTTCATTAGATCAGTTCACTCCAAAAAGGGACACAGTTGTACTGAAAAGGTTTTACATTGCTCATTTCAAACTTACCTCAGTAGCAAAATGCCATGCGTGCAACAGATTTGCAACTACATTAGTCATTTTCTTTCCTCCGTTTTCTTGCTGTGTTTGTATTGGGAGCGTAGAGCGATGTAATTTAGTAAATTATGATTTGATGGCTGGGCAACAGCCTCAGTGTTGAACAGTATTAGGGCTATAATTACTTGCTGGCTTTGTCAGAGTTGACATTAATTATTGATGGAAGTTTCAGAAATAGCGCATGTGCCAGGAGCTTTGCACCGGAACTCAGGCTCCAGGCAGGAGGGATGCTAAAGAGGGTGGGGGAAGAGGTACCTGTGGCTTGTTTATGTCTGTGCGCAGCAAACCTGTATCTGGTGGGCTGTGTGGTACCTGTGTAAAGGTTATGGTGTAACGGGAGGATGAACCGTCAGGCTTATTTCTATCGTGTTCCTCCCCAGGAACTGCACCGAAGAAGCCAACTTCAGCAGGAGCCAGCCAAGACGAAGGCTCTCCAGACTGTCATTGAAATGAAGGTAGGAGCTGTTCACATTTGTCAAAAACAGCTGTGCCTCTGAAGTTTGTTTAAACTTGATGGTGCCTAACATAAAATGTGAATTGAATGTTGTATTTTTCTCTAGGCACCCTGGTGAGTGATTTTTTTTCCTAAATCTTTTTGCCTTCCTGGGTACATTTAATTTCTTGGCCCTTTAATTAGGATTCTTTTTCTGAGCAAAAGAATAAAGGGCTCAAGTATCCCTTGGCTGAAAGGAGCTGGGTTCTTTTCCAGAGTATGGCCAGTGCTTTCAAGCTTAAGGGAGGTTTTGTGTGTGCTTTAAAAGTAGATTTCTAAACCTGGAAATATTCCTTTTTTCCTCCCACTCACATTACAATGAAAAGGCACCTTGAGAAACTATGATTTGGCAAAGAGAAGGAGTTTTATATGCAATGGAGTCATTTTAATAACTTAAATGGTACTATTAGCAAAATTTACTTATCAATGAATAATACTTTGTCTTGACTCCAGTATTTTCTCCTAACCAAGTGTAGAAGTAATAATTTTTAAGATACTCTCCAGGTATTCTTTTAGCTGTGGAAGCATTAGAGATATGCTATTTAAAAAGAATCAAAGATTCTCCTGGATGGATTTGGGGCATTTAAAGAATAATGAAGTAAATGATGAAGGCCAAGTCATGACATATGATTAAGAAACAGATCTAAATGAAACCCAATTTCTCTGTCAGTATCTAGAAATTTGAAGTCTTTTTCACTTACAGTTTTTGCCAGAAGAGAGCAAATAGTATTTATCTTAAGAATAAATAGCCCTTGATTTAAATTGCTACATAAGGAGAAATAATTCATAACAACAATGTTTGTAATTTAGTAATTTCACACTTGAGGTTAACACTGGTCACCATCAGCCAATAAGACAGTTAAGAAGCTTGCTGGCAGGATAATGATTTTTCTGTCTTTCTTGTAGCACATGATTTGGAATTGTCTACCAAAAAATTCCCATGTCCTGGGGAAAAAGAAGTTAATATGAACTATTGAGTTTTTGGCATGTGCAGTTCTGACTTAGAATTTTTTTTCTGTTCAATCACAGTGTCTTCATCCAAGTAGATTTTTGTGGAAATAATGTAGAACATTTGCTTTCAAACCATATGATTCCCAAAGGTTACACAAGTCAAGTACTCATAATGTATTTGCAGCAAATTGGTTTGAAATGTATTATCTATGGGACTGCCTGCCAGTAAGATTAAAAAAGTAATTGCTGATTTTGGCTCATCAATTCACTTTGAATTTATGTAATTTAAACTTATTTGGAAAAGATACTTCTTCTACACCTGAGGCGGAATGGCTTGCAACTGAGATTTCATCCTCACTTCACATTCATTAGAACCAAATTGGAAACTTTTTTAAGGCGGAAAAAGAAAAGAAAAAAAAAAGGAAAGAAAAAGACAAAAAATGTATTTTAATGATTTATTTATTTTTATTTTTTGCAAAGAGCCAGTCAGTCCCCTCTCTACTCACCTCCACGCATACATCCCACACAGTGAGTAATGGATAAGAAGATGCATGCAAAATCTATTTTCAAATTATTGTGTTTTTTTTTCTTTAGAAAAGAATGCCTTCCAAAAATCTTTGGAGAAACCAGGAATGACATGTCTCCCAGTGCTTTGGGCATTTTCCTAGTAAAGGTCACTATAAAGACAAATTGGTTTGATTCTAGCTTACTGTTTTTAGTATCATATGTTTTGTTGGGAAAAAAATAAATAAAAGCATTCATTTAGGCTATCTACAGTTTATGCCCATACATTATTAGTAAATTGAGTCAGTACTTTTTCTCTTATGACACCAATGCTGCTGATATGTTGAACACATATTTAGGACAAATGATGATCAATACATTTGTCAGGGTATCAAGCCTGGAGTTTTTCTGTTGTCTTTTGGATGCCTGCTCATTTACAAAGCACTGCCTTCTGTTTTGTTGGTGGAGAAGTCTGGGTTCCATTAGCATCTATACTCAACATGCATAAATTGAATTATGGAGGCAGCTGGTAGAGAGGGTCATTTCCTCAGCCGCGTGTGTGCGGCTTGTGATAGAGGCTGTGATCTCATCTGATTTTGTATATTACATCCCTTTAAAATTGGAGGGCACATTGGAAGCCAGAATTTTACAAGCCTTAGGGTTGACTCCCAAATAGTGCTGACCCGTAATCCTGGTGGGTGGAATTCCAGACACTGTTTTGTTTTAACTTAAACACTTTTGGGTAAACATTAATGTTGTCTATAACACATTGGCAAAATCTGAAGTCAAAGGGGGCTTTTCATATAGTAAATTGGATCTATAGTTTCAGGAACATGACAGAATTAAGAGCTTAGAAGTTATCCCTACTTATCCCTTGGTTCTTAGTGAATCTGACCCCAGGTTTTCTCCACACATATCCTCTGTATCAACTCAAGAAAGGTACTTATTGTGAAAATCTGTGAAATCTTGCCCAACCCAAATACTTTAGACCCACAATCTCACACTTCTAGTGACTCTCTACATATCCCTCAGTGCTTTTAGAGTTGTGAAGATACCTCGTTGTGGGGCAAGCCTTGGAGAGGACGATTTGCTCACATCACAACAGAGGACCATTTTCTGGCGACCATCACCTTTGTTGCCAGCCAGCTGAGCCAGGGGAGCTAAAGTCACCTGAGTGAAAATGAAGGGAAGCAAAGTGAATTAAAGTTATTTGTGATTTATCTTCTTGCAGGAAACTCCAAATTTTAATTTTGATCCCGATTTGGTCTGGCAGGTATGTTCCAGGTTTGCACTGTTAGAGCACTGTGTGTGTTTCTCAGAAAAGTTAGTTTTCTTGTGGGTGTTGCAGTGTTCCTCCTTTTCTTACTTTTGTGTCTAAAAATTCTTCACTAAGCTCCTCTTTTCTACTCTTATGTAGAACTCTCAATAAAAATGGCTGTTTAGAGGTGTTTAACCCCCTTTTTTCCTTCTTTAATGTTAAGTCTTTTGAAAGAATGTATTTTTAATCTACTTTAACTGTAAATTTGACATGGCATAAACATGATGTTCAAAAGTTGCACTTTCTTGGGTTCATTCATAAAGCTATATCCATTTTTTTAAGGACACTGAATTACAGTAATGACAGTACTTGTCAGATAATCCCAATTTTTTTCTTTGTTAGTCAGAACTTCTAAACAAATCAAAATCTAATTCAAAATGGCTTAAGCCAAAAGGAAATTTATTGGCTCATGTAAATGGAAAAAATACCCCAGGAGTATTGCTTCAAGCATAGCTTAATCCAGGAGTTCAAAATATATTCACAGATCCCATTTTCTCTCATTCCACCACGTATTTTGGCTTCCTTTATGGGAGCTTCATTTTCAGACCACCTCTTTCTGCCTGTCTGAACAAGATGGCTGCAGCAGCTCCAACAACCACAGAAGGAAGTAACAGGAAGAAAGTTGTGTTTTTTAAAAAATGCAAAAAACCCATACTGTTTTCCACAGTGGTTGTACCAGTCTGTGATCCCACCAACAATGGATTAGGGTCCCCTCTTCTCCACAACCTCTCCGACATTTGTTGTTTGTTTCTTTGTTTATGATGGCCATTCTGATTGGTATAAAGTAGTATCTCATTGTGGTTTTAATTTGCATCTCTCTGATAGCTAGTGATATTGAGCATCTTTTCATGTGTGTCTGGATCTTCTGTATGTCTGTTCAAATCCTTTGCCCACTTTTTAATTGGGTTGCTTGTCTTCTTAGAGTGGAATCGTTTAAGTTCTTTGTATATTTTGGAGATTGAACCCTTGTGTGAGGTATCATTGGCAAATGTTTTCCCATACAGTTGGTTCTCTTTTTATTTTAATACTATTTTCTTTAGCTGTGCAGAAGCTAAGCATTATGCTGAGTGAAATAAGCCAGGTGTTCGAAGACAAATACCATATGATCTCACCTTTAACAGGAAGCTAAACAACAAAACAAAGAAGCAAGGAAAATAAAACCAAAGCCCCTAAAATAGAGAACAGGGGGACAGTGACCAGAGGGGAGAGGGGAGGGAATTTCAGGGGAAAAAGGGGAGGGATTTACAGGAACTAGAATAAAGGACACATGGACAACAACTAAGGGGGGTGGAAATGGGAAGGAGGTGGGGAGCACTGGGGGGTGGGCTGGGATGGGACTAAAAGACAGAAAACTGTACTTGAACAATAATTAAATAGAAAAATTAAAAAAATGCAAAAAACCCAACCAACCCTAATAATAATTACTGAGATAGGGCATAAAACCTCATTCAAATGTAACAGCTCAGGCTGAAAAGAAAATGCATTAAGTTCCCTAGTTCTCATTTGCTTATGAATTACATGGCACTCAAGAAAAACAAGCTTTATGCTAGCACTAAACTCAGCAGAATTTATCAAATGGGACATATATGTGATACTAGGGTTTTAGTAAAAGTTGCAGAAAATATACTTGATCTGATGAAAGTGGTTTAAGAAGTGAAGGGCGTAATGTCACCATGGGACGGTATCTCTGTGACAAATGAAGTGAGGATTGTGAGTGTTTAGCTTTCTAGTCACATGACCAGCCAGGGCACGTGTGTGCCATGTGTGGTTCTTCTAGAGTACCAGGCTTTGCTATGGGAACCGCACTGTAAGTAATTCAAGATGAAACTTGACTAAATAGCCTACTTATAGTTGTGCTGTTGGTGAAAAAAATGTAACTTTGCATTCAGGTGCTAAACTTTAGTGATGAGGTCGATTTTTGCTAATAAAACTAAAAACCAAGCCTTGTCTTTGTGCTCAGGAGGATGATTACTCTTCTACTCCATGAGGTTGAGCTGACTGGCAGTTGAGTTAAGTTTCCTTTAAAAGGTACCTTGTTGTTTGGTCAGACCCAGCCATTTCAGTTCCATCAGGCATGGAAGGAATGTGCTGAAACATGGAGAAGGCAAGAGCTACTCGCCAACCCAAGGTCACACAAGCTAAGGAGGGATTTTGATTCCCAACCTAGGCCATTGATTGCACACCACTTTTCACTGTAAACTTAATTCAGATCTTAGGATCTAATCAGTAAAACCATGTAATACCTGAAATGTTTTTCTGGATGCAGGTTTATTTCATCTGTCTTTGGAACTGTTACTTCTTAGAGTCTAAACACTAAACTCTATTTAGAATTATTTCTTCTCCCAGAATGATGGGTTCATATAAAATTTGTGTCAAGCCTAGTTTTTCTAGTCAAGCCATTATGATGGATTTTAGGACTTAAAAGATGCCTGGGCTCTTTTTGTGGCAATTGAAAAAAACAACAGCAATAAGGACAATGATACCACCTGTACCGCCAGTGACAGCCCACAGCTCAAACACCACTAACCACACATGGGTAGGCAGGTGTAGGGAACGTGGCATATAAAAACTTGCAAATAGGCATAATTAGCCAATTTTTACAGATGAGAAAGCCATGTTTGAGAGAGGGTAAGCAACCTCCCCAGGGTTCTATAGCTAGTCAGTTGGCAGTTAACATTTGAACACAGGTTTATCCTTCAAAGATCTTATACCTCTAGTTCTCTGGTCTGCTTTTACTGAAGGTGGCTCATACATTCAATTGGTTTTACTGTGAACACTTATTTTGTAAATTATGCATTGAGGTTTGCATCATAGAACAGGTTGAGGCAGCTCATGAGAACTGGAAAGGTCTATGTGGTATTTTTGATTAGATCAAGGCCTGGTGTATTTTGTGCTATAAAGCAAGACTCACCCTTTCTACATGTATGTGTTATCAGCCTTCAAAGTTGGCTCCAAATATGTGCCCTACAGCCAACATATTCCCTGTTCCTCCCCTTAGTTTTAAGTCTTGCTCTGAAGTCTTTAAAACAGTGTGGAACATAACTCATTTAAATTTGGAAAGCCCTGTGTTTTTGATGTGCACTATCCATTTATAATACCAAAAATTGTCCTTTAGCTTATTTTTTTCTTGAGAAATTTCTTCATCTTTTCATTTTTCAACTTAAAAAAAAGAACCTTTTTCCTACTTAACTATTTTTTTAAATAAGGAGGGAAATGTGGGTTTTAAGTTATAGCCAGAAAAAGCAAAATGTCAAGTTAAATGTTAGCTCTGGATGATATATAGTTGTCATTTAGAAGAAGCAAGGAAGATTAAAAAAAAATGAGACTTCTTTTCTTCTTTGCCCAAAGTCTTATGATGTGTTTGATTCTAAATGAGTTACCAGTTGATGATTTCTGCAATAAACAGGTTCAGTTTGTGTAAATTTAACTCCTGAAGTTGAGTCACAAACACCAGTGTTTATCATGCATCTATTTTGTACACAGCACTGTGGAGGGCCTTTCATAAAAACTGAGCTCAGTCTTTAAGACGTTAATGGAAGAAGTATGTAAACCAGGGTCTAAATAGTGACCTAAAAATGGCAAAATGGGTTGCAGGGGCTCAGAATATACCAAATAAGAGAGGGGTGGAGGATGCTTCTTGGAGGAGGCAGCATGTGAGGAGAGCCTTGATCCCTAGAGACTGGCATGATCTTTTTTTTTTTTAAATTTATTTTTTTACTGATTATGCCATTACAGTTGTTCTATTCCCCCCTTTATTCCCCTCCACCCTACTCCCCCATCCCCACCATTACCCCCCCTTTAGTTTATGACCATGTGTCTCAAGTTCTTTAGATTCTATTATTTCCCATACTAATAATAGAATCTAAAGAACTTGTGACACATGGTCATAAACTAAAGGGGGGGTAATGGAAACACACCAAGGCACATCATCATTACATTAGCCAAGATTAAAATGAAGGAGAGAATTCTAGAAGCAGCAAGAGCTAAGGGGACAGTCACCTACAAAGGAGTCCCCATCAGACTGTCAGTGGATTTCTCAAAAGAGACCTTACAGGCAAGAAGGGGCTGGAAAGAGGTATTCCAAGTCATGAAATCCAAAGACCTACAACCAAGATTGCTCTATCCAGCAAAACTTTCATTTAGAATGGAAGGACAGATAAAGTGCTTCTCAGATAAGATCAAATTCAAGGAGTTCATCATCACCAAGCCCTTATTATATGAAATGTTAAAGGGACTTTTCTAAGAAAAGGAAGTTAAAAAAACATGAACAGTGAAAGGACAGCAAACTCACAGTTATTAACAACCACACCTAAAACAAAAGCAAACTAAAAAGACAGCTAGATCAGGAGTGGAAACATAGAAATGAAGATCTCAAGGAGGGTTAGCAACAGGGGAGTGGGAGGAGGAGAAGGGGGGAGAAGGTACAGAAAATAAGTAGCATAGACGGTAGGTGGCATGATCTTGATAAAAGGGAGAAGGATGGTTTATTAACAGTGAGAACAATGTGAGCAAGGCCAACACAGATGGAAAGTATGAGGAGTGTCCAAGGAAGAGCAGGTCATTCAGTTTGGTTGAGAGACTAGATTTTAAAAGCAATGGAAGATCAAATTAAACCATAAGAAAGTGAGAGAAAAGAAATAAAGCTATTCAGTTGTCTGTTGATGAGTATTTAGAATGCTTCTGTATCTTGACTATTATAAACAGCCCTGTAGTAAACATAGGGATACAGATTTCTTTTTGAATTAGTGTGTTAGATTTGTTTCGATAAATACTCAGAAATGGAACTGCTAGGTTATAAGATAGTTGTATTTTTAATTTTGTAAGGAAGCTCCGTACTGTTTTCCATAGTCGCTACACTAATTTACAATCCCACCAACAATGCGGGTTTCCTTTTTCTCCACATCTTCACCAACACTTATTTGTTGATTTTTTGATAATAGCATTCAGGTGTGAGG